CCCGCCCCCCCGTATCAGGTGTATCGTATTATATCTTGCTTTTGATACAAAAAGTATAGACACTTTTTTTATCAATCAAAAAGTATAGACACTTTGAACCATGCATACAATTTACACCCATTTTCAGTCTTTAGAGTGAGCTGCGACGGTAATTATTATCATTTGAGCATGGCCTTTTTTTTGAATAATTATTCCAGCATACCCATTTATTAGTCCATTTACTTCAACTGCCAGCTTTCATGGCTCCTTGAAATGATACCAATATTGCCAAGGGCTTTGTGTCACAGCCATTGCACCATCGAATCCCCCTTTACTGCAACATTCCTCAGGTTTAGAGTCCTTGACATTCTTAGACCATGCAAGACAGCTAAAAGCTCTGCCCTTATTGAATTTCATGCCATGACACTCCCATCGAGATCTTAAAATGCCCCACCTATACCCAATTCTCCTGGTTTACCCAAGCAGCATCCATGAAAGTTTAACTTAACTGCACTAGCCACTTGAGGGGACCAACTCAATGATATCACATCTCTTTGGAAGGGAATAGCTACTATTAAACTGTTACACCCCAATTCCTTAGCAGATCATCATTAATAGGTAAACCAATTTCTTTAAAAATAAAAGGAAAATTTTATTAAAAGGAAAAAGAGATACAGCAGGTAGATTATAAGATATCATCTGAAAAGAGATACAGGGAATCTGTAGTGTGGACCCCTCCGCCTGAAGGATGGGTAAAGCTGAACTTTGATGGCAGCAGCCAAGGAAACCGAGGCCCATCGGGTATAGGAGGGGTGCTGAAAGGCATGGAGAGCAACATATTAGCCTTGTTCTCAGGCCCCATGGGAATAGGAGACTAATAGAGCTGAGATTTTAGCGAAGGTACAAGGTATTCAGATTGCAGAACAATTACAGGTTCAGCACTTGGTAGTTGAAGGAGACTCTCGAATTGTGGTGGGATGGTTGAAAGACCCAGCTTCAGCCATGTGGCAACACAGAGATTTATTAAGGAGAGTAAACTGGCTTACAAGAAATATGACTG